AGAAGAAGAGAAAAGGAAAGAAGAAAGAAAGAAAGAAAGAAAGAAAGAAAGAAAGAAAGAAAGAAAGAAAGAAAGAAAGAAAGAAAGAGAAAGTCAAAATATTTAGGACCCATTTTATTATATGCAGCACTCTTCAGATATCTGGCATTTAATCTTCCAAATTCTACTTCTATTGATGTGATTGCTTATCCTTCTATATGCCATCTTCTAATGCCATAAAATCTACCAATTAAATAATAAATAAGTACATAGATAGATGGTAAAAGCCAAATTGTTCAATCTCTTACTTAAGCAATTCAAAGAACCCTATTTTCTTGGTGCAAATGGAGGAGAAAAACATTGTAAGCAAATTAATTTGTTTTTGTTTGATGACTTATCTAAAATTTCATGGATAGTTAGGGCCAGTTTTGGTCTCAAAGAGAAGTTTGAAATTATATCATTCAGAATTGTAGGCTTGGATAGGACTGGTATTTTCGGATGGCTATGATAGACTTCAGAATTCTAACTTTCTACAAGATATTTGGTTATGTTTTCTAAGTGTAGCTATAAATTGAGAAAAATTCTAAATGCAGTGTAAGTTTAGCCTCATGTGATGGTGTAAAATGTAAATGTAAAATGTAAACTGTTCTATACGTTTGTGCTGTGTTTGTTTCTATTCATAAAGATGTGAAATAAGGTAACCTACATGATCTTCAAGGTTCTTTAAAATTCTTAACTAAATGTCTTCAAACTTTAATAAAGAGAAATTATTATGGTCTTATAGATTAAAAGTAAATGTGTATATATTCATAGCTAGTACAGCCACTATATCCAAATACTGCCAATAAACTATAAATAATAATTTAAAGGTAGTTTCTTCATAATTAGTACTTGGACTTTATATAAAATATTGCTCAACAAATTTTATTGATGTGGCTTCCTTAAGTTCTTGCAGCTGAAAATAATGTCAATAACTTATTTTAATGACATAATTGATTACTATTATTATTACTATTATTATTATTGTTATTATTATTATTATTTGTTACAAGGTCTTACTACACAGCTCGAGCTTGTAGTAAATTGTTTCTTTTTTATGTATTTGGTACAAGGTCTCACTATACAGCTCAGACTCATAGTGACCCTCCTGTTTTCCTGTTTTCAGCCTCCCTAGTGCGGGGATTACAGGATTGTGCCATCAGGCTGATCTCATTGGTCAACTCTGAATGCCCAGGGGTGGGGCTGGCATGGCGTGTGGGGCTAGGAATCTAACCCTGGGCCCTGCATTTGCCTAAACAGGTGCTTAGTCTGCTGATCTATCTCACCAGCCCGGCATAATTGTTTCAATTACCTATATTAAGGTAAGATTTTTTCATGGTTTTTCTTAAATTTACTTAAAACAGAAAAAAGGCCTAAAACTCAATTAGGAATAAACAAAATCAATTAATAGAGGAGAAATATTTTGGTGTTAATTGTGAAAGAGAGTAGGTGGGTTGACAAATGATGTTAAAAGGTATACAAGAGTGGATATTGCTAGAAACAGTCTATAAATATAAATCTGTCATGAAGTCAACTAAGGGTAGGAATAAGAAATAAGGATAAAGAACAAAAAGGATAGGAATAACAAAAATGAGACTAAATTAATAATATTCTAGAATAAATTTCCTGTTATAACAAAAATTTTTAAAATCACCTGGAAAGGTCTAGATCTTATAAAAATAAAGTTTGGTAAATGTATAGATCCTGGAAAATTAGCAGACATTTGACAGTTATCCAAAAATTAAATTTGATAAAAATTTATCAAACACAATTTGCTTAAGAACTCATGTGACAGTCCATGTAACCTTTTAAGGACTTCTTTAAGTAGTTTTAAGGATGAATAGGGGCTCTGATGAGGGACCCATTTAACTAAGGAGAATATTTATAAATAGAGGGAAATGGGAAAAGCAAACTTCCATGGGACTTGGAGGTGGGCGCATGTGGCCAAGAACGTGCTGCAGTAGAGGGTTCCTCTAACATGGATACTTTGCATGTACATGACCCAGGATGGAGAAGGCTAAGCATACCTATGATCCTTCATTTAAAAAAATCATATTTTGCAATTAAAACCCCAAAATATGTCCACAAGACCACACTCATATCAAGATATAGAATATTTCCAGTCTCCTAGAAGACTTACTCATGCCTTTAATAAATAGTACTACTCCAGCCCCTCAGATAATCACCATTCTGACTATTCTTATAGATTAATTTTGCCTGCTCTCCAGTTTCATATCAAAAGGCTAGTGCAAAACAATGACATTAATTAAACTCCA